CCCAGATGCGGCTAAGTTGCTGGTCCGTGCTCTTGTTCTCTCTCGCCTTGACTACTGCAATACCCTTCTCAGTGGTCTTACGTGTTCCCAGATTGCACCGCTGCAATCTATAATGAATGCGGCGGCGAGGCTTATTTTCCTATCCGCCCGCACCTCTCACGCCTCCCCGCTCTGTCAGTCCCTGCATTGGCTTCCAGCTAGATATAGGGCTCAATTTAAAATTCTGGTGCTTGCTTACAAGTCCCTGCATAATGCTGCTCCAACCTACCTATCCTCCCTAATACACAAGTGTGACGGACCGCTGGCATTCCGACTGAGCACCTCCGCAAATCGATGCTCCTAGCACTTGCCGAGGACTCCGAGCACTCTAACCGACAAGCACTGCGGACCCCACTTCCATCGATACAGCTGCACTGGGGTCTTGCCGTCTCTCACCCACCCTGGATCCACGACCAGGATCCAGCTCCCAGTGGGTGAACCTCTCTTAAATCCAGAGAGCGTAGCAGGAACAAATCAAGCTCTTACAAGAGCTTACTTTGGGGAGTAAGTGATTATAGCAATCCCCAGAGTGTAGGTATCCCTTCCCCCAAGCATGAGCCAAGGCTTCAAGAAAGGTGCAAGTAGGTCTGGTTTATTGAGGGCTACCTGCCCGGTATTTATGCAAGTTTCCACCAGGTGGACACTCCCCTAGGGGACCTGATGGAACAATGGGACACATATTGGATATTAGCCAATCACAGACAATACAAACAAAACACTCCCACAGTAACATCACAATCCCTCCTCTCTATCCTGGAGATAATTGGGAAGTAATCAAATTATTTCCCAGGACAGAGGCAAGACTCCATTAACCACATGGTTACAAAAAGACATAAAATGACACAATGTTACAATTACTACATAAAACATATACATGCAACATATCCCCAGATAGCTTAGATCTGAGCGCACATTATTACCGAATGGCGCTCAGATCACCTACATACAATTCAATCGCCATGGAGCCTATTCGTGTAACAAAAGACTATGGAAAAGACTGTGGCTCCATGGCGATTGAACTGTATGTAGGTGATCTGAGCGCCATTCACCATTTGCGCATAGCTATCTGGGGTAGCACTACTCATATACTGAAAGTCCCGAACGCCTCGGCAGAAATACACAAATAAACCTCTCTGCAGGGGAAAATACAGCTATCAGCCCAGGGGCCATAGTCGGAAGGCAGGAGGCTAGCCAGTAGTCCCCTCCAGGCACAAGTGGCGAAGGGCACTTCGTCACAACAAGTATGTCCCGTTGAGGCCCCTACGCTCTGCCGAAGAACTACGTATATCCTCTGTCCGTACTCCCACCTCTAACGCTCACCTCCAAGATTTCTCCAGGGCTGCACCTCTTCTGTGGAACTCCCTTCCCTTCTCCAGTCTCCACTCATTCAAAAAATCATTGAAAACACACTTCTTCAAGAAAGCATATCAATTAAACTGTTAGCAGGTTTTTATCCCCTACCCCCATGACTTTTCTCCTGCAACTGTCAAAGATTACCTACTAAGCCCTCAGTGAAAACTTTTCTAACAACCTACTTCGTACCCTTACTTTTACTCTTTGTGTCACTATACCCCACTCCCTCTAGAATGTAAGCTCATTGTGCAAGGCCCTCCACCTCTCTGTTCCTGTACATCTAGTTTTCTGGTTACAATTACATGTCTGTTAGTCCACCCATTGTACAGCGCTACGGAATCTGATGGAGCTATATAAATAATAAAATATTAATAATTATTGTCTGAGTGTATAACAGAGCTCCACAACAATAATACTCCCAGTAATGTTCTTTAAACTACAATGAATGTGTTTAGAAATCAGTCTGTGTAAATAAAGTTACATTGTTCTTCTTCTAAATTACATTTTAATTGTATAAATAGTTATTAGTAAGTAATCTAATATTTCTCAGAACAGCCCCGCCCCTGGCCACACACCCCACTCACACCCAGAACAGCCACACCCCTGTCCACACCCCCACACAGACCAGCCCCACCCCTGACCACACCCCACTCAGAACAGCCACACCCATGGCCACACCCCACTCTCAACCAGAACAGCCCCGCCCCTGGCCACACACCCAACTCACACCCAGAACAGCCACACCCCCACACAGAACAGCCCCCCCCCTGGCCACACCCCACTCAGAACAGCCACACACCCCCCACTTCACCTAGAATAGCCCCGCCTCTGGCTACACACACCACTACACACCCAGAATACACACCCTGTTCACACCCCCACACACAGAATAACAGCCCCCACCCCTGGCTACACCCTTCTACCCAGAGCCAGCCATGGCCCATGGCCACACCCCCACTCTCACCCAGAATAGCCCCGCCTCTGGCTACACACCCCACTCACACCTAGGAACAGCCACACACTCCCTGTCCACACACCCCTACACATGGTAAATAAGCCTCTACCCTACTCAGAACAGCTATACTGATGGCTACACCCCCACTTCTACCCAGAATAGCCTCAGCCTCTGGCCACACACCCCACTCACACCCAGAACAGCCACACCCCTGACCATAATACCCCACTCAGAATAGCCCCGCCCCTGGCCACACACACCCAGAAATGTGCCACACCCCTGTCCACACCCCCACACAGACCAGCCCCACCCCTGACCACACCCCACTCAGAACAGCCACACCCATGGCCACACCCCACTCAGAACAGCCAAACCCCCACTCTCACCCAGAACAGCCCTGCCCCTGGCCACACACCCCACTCACACCCAGAACAGCCACACCCCTGTCCACACCCCCACACAGAACAGCCCCACCCCTGGCCACACCCCACTCAGAACAGCCACACCCATGGCCACACCCCCACTCTCACCCAGAACAGCCCCGTCCCTGGCCACACACCCCACTCACACCTAGAACAGCCACACCCCTGTCCACACCCCCACACA